TTTTTTCTCAGTATCTAATTCCTCAGAGAGAAAACTTATTTTAAGATAACGGTGAAGTTAATTTTTAAGGCCTGAGTGAAACAGCATGCCAGATCAAAGTGCTTTTCTGTACTGCTTTTGGCTACTGGGAACTGTCCCCCCTGAACTTCAGGGAAAGCGTCCTGACCTCACGATTTCTCAAATCACTGTCCAACGGCACGGACCGCCCTCTTGCCCCACGAAGTCTGTCTCCGGGATTCACCTTTATTCCTTCCATCTCTCCTTCTGCTGCTCCGGTGGGTGGGATGGTTCCCTCTGCAGGAAGGGGTGATGTGCCTGCATAGAGCCCCTTCCAGAAATTAATCTTTCCGGATTTGTCTAATGTTTTACACACGTCTTGTTTTCTCCTATGCAAAGTGAGTAGTCATAAAAGTCACGTGGAAGTTACTTCACCGGAGTAAAGCTATTCATGGACAATGCCTTTTCACGGTGTTGTTGCTGAAATAATTTAAACGGGTCAACTAAAACCTTGAGGCTTGTGCCATGAAATAAGTCTCATTCCGACACGCAGAAGCAGTAAGACAGAGAAAAACGGAGGAGAAGCCTACAAATCCTGATCGATGGCTGGGGTGCAGGTCGCAAGGGGACCCGAGCCGACGGGGCGTGCTCACTCCCGCAGTGAAGGTTCGGGAAAGGCAAGACCTCGTTTCCCAGTTATTTCGAGACAAACAGACGAGGTGCTGACAGCAGGCAGCCGCGGGCATCCCTCGCTATTGACCGGCCTCACCCAGGTGTTTGGCGGTGCGAGCAAAGCTAACGATTTCCTCGGCGCTGTTTGAACGGGGCATCCCAGCGCGGCCCCTGCGCGCTCTCCCCACCGCCGGAGCAGTGCGCCCCGCTCGTCCCCGCCTTTCGCTTCCTTCTCTCCCCCTTCACAACAACTTTTCTCCTCACCACTCCTACACTTTGCTCCTTCCTCCTTAATTTCATAACCCTACAGAGGCAAAAGATTCTCTCTGGCCCGTTCCTCATCCTGCAGCCTCAGCATGTAGCAGGTCCCCAGTCAGAAACAGGCTCCTTCCCAGTAATTCCTCCACGCCAATTAACGGGGAGCCAGCCGCCAGGATGGAGGATCACCTCCGCCCCCTGTATTCAGGAAGGAGCTGGCAAATCTTGCACAGCTTCCAGGGAAAGAGAGAAAAGCCCACGGTGTATCTGTTTTTCCCGAGCTCCTCGGAGGTTTCTCTGCTGGGGAGCCAGGTTGGCCCGTCAGCTCTGAGTCGGCTCCTTGCCACGTCCCCCCACCCGGAGGGACACCTGAGTGACAGGTTTCTTTATTCAAGACTAAATCGGCACTGCCCGCCTATGATTTAAGTTGCTTATTAATCTAGGTTTACGGCTGTAATTATTCTTCTCCTAAAAGGGAAAATAACCCGACCCCAGCGGGTTAATGAACAGCTCACGGGCATTGCAAGTTAACCTCCCTCGGGAAGGCGGTTCTTCACGGCGCGCTGAGCTCCTCTATACGTTTCAGGTGGAAACCCCGCGCTGCTGGGCTCTGTCTGCTCATGGTTTATAATTAAACGTTTTCACTTGTCTACCTGAACCGGCTTTTTGAAATCCTGTCACATGAGACGATCCTTTGTGCTGCCCAGATGTTTCAAGTCGGAGACTAATCGTTGCCAATCCCAGCCTCTCCCAAATCGACGGCCTCTCCTGATGCCCCTTAAATACTATTTTTAAAGATTATAAGAGAAAACCCCCGCCACTAATTTTCTCTCCCCCCTCTCCCTCCCATCTATTCGCTTTAACATCCAATTTCCTTTTATCGAGGGAGCAAACTGTGATTTCTTGCACTTGACCTACCGCAGAAAATTCTGCAAATCCTTTGATTGTCTATTTAAAACAAAACAAGGAAATCAGCTCTCCCTTTTGCTCCAGGATTACGCTTGGAAACAAGATCTAAAGATTCTCTTGTAATTTGGAGAGCCAACAGCATAATAGCTTTGGAATAGAAACAAGCAGCTTTGTGAGGAGGAGGATAACTAAATCGTTTTTAGGCAAAGGATTTTCCCAGCTAAAGTGGCCGAAGACAAAGCAAAACATAATCTATTTTGGAAGATTTCCAAGTTATGCCACATTAACCTTAGCAGATAAAATTTGCTTTCTTCTCTGCGGCCCCTCCCCCACCGCAGTCTGGTTTATCATATTTACATAAGTAGCCTTAGAAGGGATGTATCTATTATGGATATAAGGAGCTAGTGAGCTCACATTTCATTTGGAAATAGAGGGGAAGTTTTACTGTTGCTTAATACTTGATGCATTGTAGAACCATTTCCATTTAAATACCCCCGACCCACGGATTACCTCCATGGACTGGCTGCATGGGTTTTGTAATTTCCTGAAAATGAGATTTCGATTTATAAAACAAGAAACCAATTAGTAACCAAATGAGGCGAAGTAGATCCACTAAAATTGACCTAATCCCACAGGCACTATTTAGGTCAGTTCTTGGCGAATGAATGATGAGCAACCGTCTAACATAAGCTCAAGGCATCACCCAGCTGTGTTATTCAAGCAGAAAAAGAAAATTTAAAAAAAAATTGATTGAGCTTTTATTTCAGAACGGATTTGATACTCTTGCCAAAATATGGATCATGTGCTCCTGCCTAACAAACTCTTCCTCCTATCTAACAATCTTTTTCACTCGATGAACACTTTTTCCTGAGAAGATAAACTATTTGTGCCACGAGAAATTATCTGCTGTTGGGGGGGGGGGGGGGGAGGGAAAGGGGAGGGGAAGGAAATAAGTAAAAAAGAAATGTAAAAAAAAAAAATTAAAAGAGAAGAAAAGAAAAGCGTTTTATCCAGCCTATCGCTCATCAACAGCCTTCACTGATAATGCGCGGAACCAGCGCGGAGCGAGCGTGCTGACTCATCCTTTCTCTCATCATTCTCCAGCGGAAAGCCACTGTGCTTTCCACGTCAAAAAGCACGTCCATCGGTTTCATGGGCTGGCTACACCGGCGGGTCTCTGTGAAATGCCTTCTCCCACCCAGCCGTGCCCACGCCCGGCACTGAGAGAGCCGCTCCGCACCGCCAGCCTGTCCCCCAGGCCGGGCGCACAGCCAGACCTGCCGCGCTGCACTGCCCTGGTCCTGTCCTTCCTTCCCCCCATCTTTTGATTGATGCAAGCCTTGATGTCGACAGCCAATGGAACCAGGGGCTGGGTGGGCACCGTCCCTAACCAGTGTTTCAAGAAGCTCCTCTGTCCCGCGGAAGGGGGAAGAGATTCCTGAATCGTTTCTAATTTGATCTAGGCCAAGACGGAGGAAGGCAGGCGCTGGGAAATAAGACTCCGAGAAGCCAGGGCAGCACCTTGGCCCTGGTTGATCTCCGGGTTACTCGTCCCTCTGTGAGCATCTGCAGCGCAGAGCCCATGTCGACCCCGTCCTTTGTCTGGCAATAGCAAAAGGGGGGCGGGGGTGGCGGTGGGAGGTGGGGTGGTCGCAGAAGATGCAAGCCCTTATCTACTTTGCGCTGATTTGCCGGCTTTTAAAAGCAGTTACGGCGATTTCCCCAGCGGACTCGCCGTCATGAAACCTCAGAGCAATCCACTGTAGCAGGCGACTTGACGCCCCCGTTTAAAAACACTTAGTGGAGAGCCCATCCTGAGCTCCAGACCTGCTTCTCTGGGGCCAGACCCTGAGGCCAGCTCCCGCCGGGGCCAGGGAACCCTTGGACACATCTCCGGGGGTTTGCCCCTGTCTGGCGCACCGCCCCACACGGCCAGGCGAGGCCCAGGGAAGATGGCTTGGAGACGAAGCCCCGTAGGCAGGGAGTTCTTTCCTGTTGCTGTGGATGGGCAGAGAGAGAGGCTAGGAGGTCTCTCCCGGCGCTGCTGTGGGGCAACGCTGGGAGCCTGCCCGACGAGGCAACCGGAGGGAGTCTTCCCTAAGCCGGGTCCTAGAAGGTCCATCGCGCGTTTCTCTTCCAGGAGTTCCTCAAAACTCCCTCTCTGGGCAGCGGTCCTCGCCGCCGCTTTCCCAGATCTCCCCGCCGCCTCCCGGGGGCCGCGGGCCGGGGACGTCTCCGTATGCTTTTGTTTCGCTGCGTTTTCTTTGCCCTTTCAAGAGCCGCTCTATGGTTATTAAAAGAGGAGGAGCAGCAGCTCTCTCCCCGCCCGCCGGCGCCGAGGGGATGCTGACCCCACGGAGGGCGCGGGGTGCGGGACCCCCGGTCACCTCTGCCCCGGTGCTCGCCCCTTCTCCGCGGCACCGGGCCGGGCTGAGCCCCGCAAGGTGCCCCCGCCGTGCTGGCCAGGCCGACGGGCACGGGCACCGGCTTCGTTCAACCTGCCCGGCAAAGCCTCTCTACAGGGAGGACGGGAATGTCACCTTCGCGAGCGGCTCCTCAAGCAGCACCTTCCCTGCCTCCCGCTGCCCCTCGCCAGCACTGCTGCCGCCTCAACACCAATGGACAAGCCGGGCACCAGAATTGTTTGGGAAGAGGGAGGCAGGACAGCTCAGTCCCCGTCTCCCAAGCGGTCGTTCTCCCTCTCTGTCCAGGGAAAATGACAAACAACAGCTCCGGGAGTCACGGGAGCAGAAGCTGCATGTCCTAGTCACCGGTGAGCCAAAAGGCGACTGGATGTTGTATCGAGGAATTAGCTTGATTCGATTAACCATTTAATTAAATTGTCTGCCGCCAGCGCTCCGTTCTGCCATTGCCTAACGCCAGACAGAGCTGATTTCCCAGTTAATTTAACAGGCAGTGGTTAATGATAACTCAAAATCTCGGCCAAATGA